TTCAGAGGGAAAATCAGGCATATCACCCTGGTTTGATGGGAAAATATCAGGAATATCACCCTGGAAAATCAGGAATATTCAGAGGGAAAATCAGGAATATTCAGAGGGAAAATCAGGAATATCCCCCTGGTTTCAGGGGAACTCTCAGGGAAACCCAGGCCTGGCTGAGCTTTCAGCTCTGTTCCAACCCCAGTTATTCCATGATTTTATCCAGGTGGGAGCTCCAGCACCCTGAGCCCCTGGGGCAGGGCACGGCTTGCTCCAAGAGCGGAAAACACCAGGAAAATTCCCAAAAAAACCTTGGAAAAAGGCTCCACTTTAAAACCCGGCCTGTCCTCTGCCTGACTGTGGGAAATGCCATAAATCCCACAGCAATTCCTCATCCACTTTTATAACATTTGGAAAAAATCTTTCACAAAATTCAGATGTTGCTGATCTGGGGCCTCTAGGAAACGAAAGCCAGGAGAATTTGGGGAGTTTTTCCTGTTTTGTGAGGAAAATTCCCAAAAAAACCTTGGAAAAAGCTCCACTGTAAAACCAGGCCTGTCCTCTGGGCAATGGGGAAGCACAGCCATCAATCCCACAGCAATTCCTCATCCATTTTTATAACATTTGGAAAAAATCTTTCACAAAATTCAGATGTTGCTGATTTGGGACCTCTATGAAATGAAAGCCAGGAGAATTTTTCCTGTTTTTTGTGAGGAAAATTCCCAAAAAAACCTTGGAAAAAAGCTCCACTGTAAAACCTGGCCTGTCCTCTACATGACTGTGGGCAATGGGGAAGCACAGCCATAAACCCCACAGCAATTCCTCCATTTTTATAACATTTGGGGCCTCTATGAAACGAAAGCCAGGAGAATTTGGGGAGTTTTTCCTGTTTTGTGAGGAAAATTCCCAAAAAAACCTTGGAAAAAGGCTCCACTGTAAAACCAGGCCTGTCCCCTGCCTGACTGTGGGCAATGGGGAAGCACAGCCATCAATCCCACAGCAATTCCTCATCCATTTTTATAACATTTGGAAAAAATCTTTCCCAAAATTCAGATGTTGCTGATTTGGGACCTCTATGAAACGAAAGCCAGGAGAATTTTTCCTGTTTTTTGTGAGGAAAATTCCCAAAGAAACCTTGGAAAAAGGCTCCACTGTAAAACCCGGCCTGTCCTCTGCCTGATTCTGGGCAATGCCATCAATCCCACAGCAATTCCTCATCCATTTTTATAACATTTGGAAAAAAATCTTTCCCAAAATTCAGATGTTGCTGATTTGGGGCCTCTATGAAACGAAAGCCAGGAGAATTTTTTGGGGAGTTTTTCCTGGTTTGTGATTTTGCCCCCCTGCCCTCCTCACCTGGTTGTCATCCCGATCCATGCTGGTGTCGTCCCTTTTCAGGATGAACCTCTGAGGGAATTCTGAGTTTTTCTCATCCTTGATGTGCTCAGAGAATCTCTGCTCGGGGCTGCAAGGAAACCAGCCCTGGTTAGGAGGGGAAAATCGGCCCCAGGAGGATTTTTGGGTGGAATTTCAGCTCCTGTTCCTACTCCAGGAGCTGTGGGAGAGATGGAAGGAAAAGATTCTTCTTCCCTATTGCCGTCATTCCGTGATTTTGGTTCTTCCAGAGAGGGATCTTCACCTCCCATGAGGCAAAAAATGATGGAAATGTGGTGTGGAAATCGTCCAGAGCTGGGTTGTGGGGAAGGGAGAGAGAAAAGGGGAAGGGAAAAGGGGAAGGGAAAAGGGGAAGAGGAAGGGGAAGAAGAAAGAGAAGAAGAAGGGGAAGAGAAGGGGAAAAGGGAAGGGAAAGAGAAAGGACAAAGGGAAAAAGGGAAAAGGGGAAAGGGAAAAGGGAAAGAGGAAGGGGAAGAAGAAGAAGGGAAAGGGAAAAATGGAAAGAAGTAGTAGAAAGAGAAAAAAAAGGGGAAAGGGGAAGAGGAAGAGAAAGGGAAAAGGGAAGGGAAAAAGGGAAAGGGAAAAAAGGAAAGGGGAAGGAAAGGGATAAAGGGAAAGGGGAATAGAAGGGAAAAGGGGAAAGGAAAAGGGGAAGGGAAAAAGGGGAAGATGAAGAAGAAAGAGAAGAAGAAGGGGAAAGGGGAAGGGAAAGAGAAAGGACAAAGGAAAAAGGGAAAAGAGGAAGGGGAAGAAGGGAAAAAGGGAAAGGGAAAAAAGAAGAAGAAGTGGAAGAGAAGGGGAAAGGGAAAGAGGAAGGGGAAGAAGAAGAAGGGAAAGGGAAAAATGGAAAGAGGAAGTAGAAAGGGAAGGGGAAGGGAAAGGGAAAGGGAAAAGGGAAGGGAAGAAGGGAAAGGGAAAGGAAAGGGATAAAGGGGAAGGGGAAGAAGAAGGGGAATAGAAGGGAAAAAGAGAAAGGAAAGGGGGAAGGGGAAGAATGGAAAGGGAAAAGGGAAAAGGGAAAAGGGAAAAGGGAAAAGGGAAAAGGGAAAAGGGAAAAGGGGAACGGGAAGGGAAAAAGGAAGAAGAAGGGGAAGAGAAGGGGAAAGGGGAATGGGAAAAGGCAAAAGGGGAAGGAAAAAGGGAAAGGGAGAAAAGGAAAGGGGAAGGAAAAGGAGAAAGGGAAAAGGGGAAGAAGGGAAAGGAAAATGGAAGAAGAAGGGGGAAAGAAGAGGAAAGGGGAAGGGGAAAGGGAAAGGGAAAAAAGGGAAAGGAAAAGGGGAATGGGAAGAAGAAGGGGAAAAAGAAGGGGAAGAGAAGGGAAAAGGGAAGAGAAAGGGAAAAGGGAAGAAGAAAGGGAGGAGAAGGGGAAGGGGAAGGAAAAAGGGAACGGAAAAAAGGGGAAGGGGAAGAAGGGAAAGGGAAAAGGGAAAGGGGAACAGGAAAAAGAAAGAAGGGGAAGAGAAGGGAAAAGGGGAAGGGAAAGGGGAATGGGAAGAAGAAGGGGGGAAAGAAGAGGAAGGGAAAGAGAAAAGGGAAGGGAAAAGGGAAAGGAAAAGGGGGAAAGGGAAAGGGAAAAAAGGAAAGGGTAAAAAGGGAAGGGAAGGGGAAAGGGGAAGAAAAAGGGGAAGGAAAAGGAGAAAGGGGAAGAAGGGAAAGGGAAAGGGAAAAGAGAAAGGAAAGGGAAAAAGAAAGAAGAAGGGAAAGAGAAGGGGGAAGGGGAAAAGAGAAAGGAAAGGGGGAAAGGGAAAAAAGGGAAAGGGAATGGGGAATGGGAAGAAGAAGGGGGAAAAGAAGGGGAAGAGAAGGGAAAAGGGGAAGGGAAAAGGGAAGGGAAAAGGGGAAAGGGATAAAAGGAAAGGGGAAGAGAAGGGGAAGGGGAAAGGGGAAAACAGGAGAAAGAAAGGGAGAAAGGGAGAACGGGAAAGGAAAAAAGGAATGGGAAATGGGAAGAAGAAGGGGAAGAAGAGGGGGAAAGGGGAAGGATGAAGGGAAAAAGACGGGGAAGGGCCTCACATGCGGGTGTTGCTGGTCTTGTTGATGATCACGGCCTTCCCAGTCTGGTCCACGTTGTGGTCCATGCCGAAGTAGGCGGCCACGCGGTGCAGCAGCATGCGGTGGTACGAGGTCATCTGGGGGAACTTCTTGAACTGATTGCTGGGCACAGGGACAGGGGACAGTCAGTGCCACCCCTGCCACGCCAGGGTGCACAGCAGAACATCCCCACCCTGCTCCCCTGAGAGCCCAAACTGCTGATTTTCAAATTCCCAAATTCCCAAATTCCCAAATCTCCATTGGGAATGCACAGCAGAACATCCCCACCCTGCTCCCCTGGCAGCCCAAATTGCTGATTTTCAAATTCCCAAATTCCCAATTTTCAAATTCCCAATTTTCAAATTCCCAAATTCCCAAATTCCAAAATTCCCAAATCTCCATTGGGAATGCACAGCAGAACATCCTCACCCTGCTCTCCTGAGAGCTCAAATTGCTGATTTGCAAATTCCCAAATTCCGAATTTTCAAATTCCCAAATTCCCAAATCTCCGTTGGGAATGCACAGCAGAACATCCCCACCCTGCTCCCCTGGCAGCTCAAATTCCCAATTTTCAAATTCCCAAATTCCCAATTTTCAAATTCCCAAATTGCTAATTTTCAAGTTCCCAAATCCCCAGTTTTCAAATCCCCAAATTCCCAATTTTCAAATTCCCAAATTCCCAAATCTCCATTGGGAATGCACAGCAGAACATCCTCACCCTGCTCCCCTGGCAGCCCAAATTGCTGATTTTTAAATTCCAAAATTCCCAAATTCCCAAATCTCCCTTGGGAATGCACAGGAGAACATCCCCACCCCGCTCCCCTGGCAGCTCAAATTGCTGGTTTTCAAATTCCCAAATTCCCAAAATTCCCAATTTTCAAATTCCCAAATTCCAAAATTCCCAAATCTCCATTGAGAATGCAGAGCAGAACATCCTCACTCTGCTACCCTGGCAGCTCAAATTGCTGATTTTCAAATCCCCAAATTCCCAATTTTCAAATTCCCAAATTCGCAATTATCAAATTCCCAAATTGCTAATTTTCAAATTCCCAATTTTCAAATTCCAAAATTCCCAAATCTCCGTTGGGAATGCACAGGAGAACATCCCCACCCTGCTCCCCTGGCAGCTCAAATTGCTGATTTTCAAATTCCCAAATTCCCAAAATTCCCAATTTTCAAATTCCCAAATTCCCAATTTTCAAATTCCCAAATTCCAAAATTCCCAAATCTCCATTGAGAATGCAGAGCAGAACATCCCTACCCTGCTCCCCTGGCAGCCCAAATTGCTGATTTTCAAATTCCCAAAATTCCCAATTTTCAAATTCCCAAATTCCCAAATCTCCCTTGGGAATGCACAGGAAAACATCCTCAAGCTGCTCCCCTGGCAGCCCAAATTCCCAATTTTCAAATTCCCAAAATTCCCAATTTTCAAATTCCCAAATTCCCATTGGGAATGCACAGGAGAACATCCTCACCCTGCTCCCTTGAGAGCTCAAATTCCCAATTTTCAAATTCCCAAATCTCCGTTGGGAATGCTCAGGAAAATATCCCCACCCTGCTCTCCTGAGAGCTCAAATTGCTGATTTTCAAATTCCCAAATTCCCAAATTCCCAAATTTCAAATTCCCCAATTTCCAAATCTCTGTTGGGAATGCACAGGAGAACATCACCACCCTGCTCCCCTGAGTGCTCAAATTGTTAATTATCAAATTCCCAAATTCCCAATTTTCAAATTCCCAAATTCCCAAATCTCCATTGGGAGTGCACAGGAGAACATCCCAACCCTGCTCCCCTGGCAGCCCAAATTGTTAATTTTCAAATTCCCAAATTGCTAATTCTCAAATCCCAAATTCCCAATTTTCAAATTCCCAAATTCCCAAATCTCCATTGAGAATGCACAGCAGAACATCCTCACCCTGCTCCCTTGAGAGCTCAAATTGCTGATTTTCAAATTCCCATATTCCCAAATTCCCAAAATTCCCAATTTTCAAATTCCCAATTTTCAAATTCCCAAATTCCCAATTTTCAAATTCCCAAATTCCCAAATTCCCAATTTTTAAATTCCCAAAATTCCCAAATCTCCCTTGGGAATGCACAGGAGAACATCCCCACCCTGCTCCCCTGAGAGCTCAAATTGCTGATTTTCAAATTCCCAAATTCCCAAATTCCCAATTTTCAAATTCCCAAAAACCCAATTTTCAAATTCCCAAATACCCAGTTTTCAAATTCCCAATTTTCAAATTCCCAAATTCCCAATTTTCAAATTCCCCAATTTCCAAATCTCTGTTGGGAATGCACAGCAGAACATCCTCACCCTGCTCCCCTGGCAGCCCAAACTGCCAATTTTCAAATTCCAAAATTCCCAAATTCCCAATTTTCAAATTCCCAAATTCCCAAATTCCCCAATCTCCATTCCAAGCTTCCTTTGCTGGGCACAGCCCGAGGGTCACTCACTTGTTATCACTGATGAACTCCAGAATCTCCTGTTCCAACTTGAGCAGCATCATTCTGTCCCTGCCAGGAGAAAAATAACAATTAAAAAATTAAAAAATTCACTTTAGGGACAGGGAACTGCCTGCCCTGCTGAAAAACTCACAGGAGGAA